CATATTGTCGAGGAAGAAGATCGAGAGCACAAAAGAACAAATCAACACACCCAATGACAAGAGCATGCTTGACAATATTATCGTCGCCGCCATCGTCAAGATAATTTGAAGCAGCGGGTGACATTCCACGAGAATGAGACCGTCGATATGTGGGAGCAAAAACGAGGCTCGCTGGTGTAAGTCGCGTCGGCCACGACAGCCACACCTGGAGGGGGATAGAGCCATGGAGCTTATATTTTGTACGACACCGCCTCTATCATTGAAATTTAGCCGATACTAGAAAAAAAAAACTTTACCGTCAAAGACATAAAAATCAAACATAGATTAAAGAAAAAACTAAACTCTAAGCGTTGATCTGTAGTTTCCCAACCTCTAGAAGGCCGAAAAGACGACTGAAGACCAGGAGGACCAGCAAAAGTCACGAACCCAAGTCGTCGGCGGCTAGGGTTTTTAGTCCCACATTCATACCACAAAAGATAATCAAACGGTCCAACAAAAAAGAAAAATCAAACGGTTGGGGCCCACGGTCGCCGTAGCCCATCCGCCACTTAAAAAAATGACCCCTACACCCCTCCTCAACTCCGTCCAACGAACCTCTTTCCCCTCCCCGCATCCCAAGCCTCCCCGCTCCATCGCCACACGCTCGAACCCACTCCTCTCACGCTCGAGTGCACACCGCACCACACCAACCAGAGCAGCCATGGCTCTCGCCGGCGGCGCCGCCACCGCAGCGTGCATCCTCGTCCTCCTCGCGCTCGCCGACGCCGCGGGGGCGGCTAACCCGTCGCCGGCGCCCGCGCCGGCGCCGGACTGCACGGAGGCGTTGATTGGCCTCGCGGACTGCCTCGACTATGTGATGCCCGGCAGCAAGTCTGCTCGGCCTCCCAAGGCCTGCTGCACGGAGGTGAAGACCGCCGTCGGCACCCCCGCCACCGTGAAGTGCCTCTGCGCTGCCCTGGACGCCAAGACAACTCCGATACCGATCAACATGACACGGGTGCTCGCCCTCCCCACCGCCTGCGGCCAGTCCGCCTCCGTCTTGAGCAAGTGCCACGGTGAGCACCGTGCCTTTCCTCACCTTTTCCAGGACCTTCTTGTCCTGGGTCTGGCTAGAATCCGCTCCCATTTTTTTTTTACACCAAGGAACTAGACCTTCTTGTTTTACTAGTAGGAAGTTTGTGTCATTTCTTCGGTTCATATGTGAGATTTATTACTATGAAAGATCTCGATTTGTGTTGGAAATTTTTGGCTGGGTTCTGACCTTCTTCACCTCTTGTTTGCTTGCAGCTGCGGCGCCTGCTGAAGGTAACACATTCTTCTCTACACATCATCGTCTTTGTATTTCATTCTTTGATGCATGCACGTTTCTTATTTCTGTTGTCTTGTTCTCTTTCGTACCATGATTTGCATCTGTCTCAGTACTGCATATGCTCGGTAAAATGATGACGATGAACTCACACATCGTATTTGTGCGCTTAATTTGAGAGTCTGAACAAACAGAAGCTTCTTTAGTTACATATATGAAATTTAACTGGGAATATCTTTGTTACTTGTCTTTCTACTAAAAATTGACTCTAACCCTTGCGTTTCCACTAAAACTTGATCCACAAAATCAAGAAAGGAACATCGTTATTTTATAAAAATACTCTCCATTTGGTTCACAAGAACGGCATAAAAATGGGGCCGCCGCAGTGTTCGTCGTCCGTGAACACAGCTGTATATTATTTTTTGATTTTTTTCTGAGCTTTTCCGTTGGCTTGTATCCTTGCGAGCCATTGCATGTGCGCTCTGAGCCTGGGGTCTGGGCAGTCAAAAGATACAGACAAGAGCATATAGGCTAAAATAAATAAAAAATCTTGGAAAAAGTACAAGTAGCTAAAAGAATTTGGACGAGCGAGTCACATGCTGTGATAGACAAAACCCATGCTCCTGGCCTTGTATATGTGCATCGAGCGGTTCATTTCTTAGCCGTTTTTCGGAAGCACAAATGCATTAAAACAAGGCCCCCCTCCTGTACCGTATTTTGATTTTGGTGTACAAAGAAATCGTTTGTTTCTGGTAGGTATACTCCATTGCTGTTCGTGGGACCAAATTGGGATGCACATGTTGCCACTAATCCGTCCACTAGTCCACTAGCATCCGAGGAATGCCCCATCAGGCCACCAATACATTTCCTGCTAGTTGCCTACGTGGTGTCTCCTTCCGCGGTTTCATTCAAGAGCGGGCAAGCTGACAATTGTGTGGTTTAGGCTGGTTGTAATGGAGAGTATCATATATTAGTATCATGCATATGATACTAGTGTGTATGATACTACCTCTCTAATGCATAGTATCATATATTAGTATTATGTAGTACTTTATTTATTGGCATGTATGACAGAAAGTAGCATAGCATTTATTATGATACGGTATCATGATATGATATTACACCCTCTCTTTCTTCATTTAATACTATGTCATCTCATCAAAATTGTCTAGTTGGTATGCATGATACTAGCTATGATACTACCATTACGACCAGCCTTACAACTACTAGTCTGATAGCTACAACAATAATGATACTTGTCCAAACTGCAAATTACGGAGCATGCATGCATGTGAACGCTACAATCAAACGTGTCTCGAGACAATTTTTACATTGTATAGCTGTTTTATATGGTATGCCCTTATAAAGTCTCTTCTTTCGTCACTGCAACACCGGCGCCTTCAGCATCTAGTGGCGGCGCAACCGCTTCACCACCGAAGGCGAATGCGGCGGCGAGGTCTCCCGGCGGCCCCGCAACCATTATCCTGGCAACCGTGGCGACTTTGCTGCTTGCCTTCTATTACCTCTGAGGGCCGACATCTCCGCCTCTCTCACGTGTTCTGTTGCACAGACCTTGTGACTCTGTGTTGCGCAGTGTTGTAATCTGAGTTTACTCTGTTTATCGGGATGGGCTCTGAGTTACTGTTATTATCATGTACCGTCGACTCAATTTTGAGTAGTAAATTGCCATGTACCTTGGACTGAATATTGAGAACTCGTTGCTAGTTATGACACTTTGTTGACTTTGGAATGTGCAGATGATCTCCTACAAACTTTTTTTTGGGTTATGAACATGTTTTTCATGAACTTTTTTGAATTCATGAACATTTTTAGTTCATTAACTTTTTTTAATTTCGTGAACATATTTTTGAATTGACAAAAAATTCAAACTCACAAACATATTTGAATTTATGATTTTTTTTCCGATTCAGAATATTTTTTCGAATTCAAGAACAATTTTTACAATTCATGAACATTTTAACTGGATTTTTTTCCCGAAGTTCATGATGATTTTTTGAATTCGAAAATATTTTTTGAATTCATGAATTTTTTAAAATACTTAATTTTTGGAATTGATGAGAATTATGAAACTCACGAACATTTTTTGAGGTTTTGAACATTTGCTGATTCATGAACATTATTAAATTGACAAACATTTTTCAAATCCATTTACATGTTTCATTACATAAATAAATTATCATTTTAAAAGGGGGAAACGCGACATAAAAAAGTTATAATTTTTTTGTAATTGTTTTATATGTGTAAAACTAATGAATTAAAATAAAAGTTGAAAAACAAACAAAAGAAAAAAAAGAAAGCCGTGCTAGCTATCGGACGTGCCAATGGTCCGGCCCAGCCCAGCCCAGGAGCGCGTGACTGTCTCACCTAGCGATGCCTAGCGTGCTGGTCGCGTGAAGCGACATACAGCACCGCCCGATCCCATCCCCAATCTCGCCCTGCCCTTGCCCTGGTGCTATCTGTAGTACAACTCCGCCGCCCGTGGATCTGCTCCTCCATCTTCGCCCGGCAGGCAACCCGTATCCATCAGCGACGGGGACAAGGACACAAGGTGATTCAACCAGGAGCCATGGGCGTCCGGCGGTTTCTGAATCTGTTCGCGGCGAACCGCCCGGGCTGCATGTATTCGCTGCGCCGCTTCGATCTCTCCCGCAACCAGTTCTTCTACACCACACCGGAAGAAGTAGCTCTGCACGGGCGAGTTCTGTCGCGGATACAAAGAGACTCTGCATCATATTCATCCCTGAAAAAGGCCTGCGGCAGGGTCAAGAAGCAGCAAGCCTCAGAGATCGGGCCGATCCGGTTGCCGGCGCGACTCTTCAACATGCGGCCGGCGCCATACCCAAAGCCAAAATCCGACGAGCTCAGAATGGACGCGTTCGCTCTCTCGGAGCGCAGCATCGTGTTCGCGGACCGCAAGGGGCACGTCTTCACCTACGACGCCGACTCGGACTGCCTCGTGACCATGCCCGGCCTCCACGCCCCCAAGGATGAGCCCTTGGCCGTCTCCGTTCCACGCCCCGGAGGCAGCGAAGGCGGCCTCTACGTGATCGAGAGGTTGCTCCGTCCTGGCAAGAGCTTCCAGTTCGAGGCCCTTGTCTCCGGCCAGCACTACAACGAGTACCATCCCTGCCGGACCTGGCAGTGTGAGGAGCTCCCGCTGCCGTCCCTACAAGAAGACGTGTACCTCGGCTCTGTCGCGGTGGTGGGCAACGTCATCTGCATCTCTGCAGATCACTTTGGCACCTACTGCTTCGACACGGTGAGCCGCTCCTGGAGCTTTGCCGGTGACTGGGTGCTGCCCTTCTTTGGCACCGCCGAGTATGTCCCCGAGCTCAACCTCTGGTTTGGCGTCTCCGACCAGGACTACCACTTGCCTTGCGCGGCCGATCTCTCACCCGTCCTCGCAGGGCAGCGGCCGGAGACGGGCCTGATTTGGGCGGACAATTACCTGCCGGAGGAGTGGCATCATAGCGGCCAAAATGGTCAGCCTGGGTTCTGGAAGGTTTTGCCTCATCAGGTTCCTTGAAACTCAGATACCTAGCATCGATACTGAGCTGGTATTTGTGGACAAAGCGTATGCTGTCTTCACTGGTCTGGAGGTGGTGTTAGCTGGGAAGGGCAATGGCAAGGGCAGCATAAACGGTAATAGGCTACGCATGGTTAGACACAAGTCCAGACGCTGCAGGAATCGTGACTCCAACTTCATCGAGTGTATACTCTGATGTCTCCACTATGCATCATCATTTAATTTGCCTGTTCCGCAGGTGGATGCGTCCTATATGGATTTTTTTTTAGTGATTCAACAAAAAGTCAAAAAATTCTGAAGATATTTTGAAATATACTTGACCTTCCAATCTACTTGTGAGAACAATTTCACAAAAAGTAAATCCCCCTTTGACTTCTTTTAAATTTTTTTGGCTAAAATAATGTGAACAGTGACCTATAATAGCAAATAAATTTATCTTTTTGCCCTGAAGTCAACGTTGGGTTTTTTCGTGAAAATTTATATACTAGTAAAAAAGAAAGTCAATTTATTCTGAAAAAAGCTTCTAAACTATTTTGACATTTTGTTTAATTATGTTAGAAAATTTCCCATATAAAGCGTATATACAACCAGGTTCCAAAGTGTATTTCACTACCGCGGGCAAAGTATTGAAACAGAACTCTGTGGGGTCTTTGCTATGGTGTTCTACCGCTGTTTTATGCCTTGTTTTGAATCTTAGGACAAGGACGATGACGTTTGGTTCTTGAGTGTATCTACACCCTATGTGAAAAAAAATAACTACATAAGGAGTCAAAATTTCTGAAAATATTTTTGTGCCCCCTTAGGACAACTTCATCGTTGTACATGAAGACAAACATCTCACATGTCCATGTGGACAGCTACAGTGAAGCCGATCATCCAACTGTATGCATCAAATAGGCATCAAATCCGGACTTCAGAGTGGGCCAGACAAACCTAGAGAAGAAAACACATGGGGTGTGAGGACAGAGCGACTACTATAGAAAAGCACCTTGTGGTGCAAAAATAGAAAACTCGAAGCTGGACAACTCAATTGAGGATGGATGGCACACGACTACTATAGAAAAGCACCTTGTGGTGCAAAAATAGAAAACTCGAAGCTGGACAACTCAATTGAGGATGGATGGCACAGATTCAACTGGTGGGATGTGTACACACAAATCCATGCTTCTGTGCAAAAAGGACCCTCGTTTCTACCTTATTTGCTTCTGAATGTGCCATCAAACGACAGCCACCCCTCTCTTCCATCTCCCCTGTTGCTTCCCGACGGCGGCGGCGCTTTAGATCCGGTGGCAAGCGCCTCCCTTCCCCTTCCCAGCTACTCTTACTCAAGGCCACCTGACTCCTCCTGGCCGCCGTCACGGCGGTGAACCCCGGGGCCCTGCTCCTGTAGGCGCCTAGGAGGCGTGGCATTCCCTGTGCCCGCCTCCGGCGCATCTACAGCGAGAATGAGCTCGTGCTGTCTGCGCCCAAGCTGCAAGGTGGCCACCTCTCCCCTGCTTTCTCACCATGCCGCTGCTATGTACTGTCATTTTCTTTGCCGTAAATGACAGATTATATCACTACTTTGATGCAGGCTGATGCTAATCTGAAGCCATCTTTGATGCTAATTTGGAGCCATTTTCTTTGCCGCTATGCACAGTCCAGAGCTGGAGCCATGCCCTTTAGTTTGTAGTTCGTTAATCTGTCAGTATTGAGATTACATTGATTCTGAAGCGTGTTAAGGATGCATTGTTAGTACTATTTTGAATAATGGATTTACAGAATTTGTGACATTCCACTCCTCAGTTTGTTTGTGTCAGTTTCTTTAACAAATAGCAATGCACTCCATATCTTTTTAAGGCTTAAAAAATCCTCAGTTTGTACAAGTCAGGCTCAAGTCCTAGTGCATGCTTGTACAAGAATCGATCAAGTGCTTCTGCTACTGTTCTAGGCGTTTTGGTACTCTAATTTGGAAGTTTTGTTTCACTCATAAGTAATATGGAGAATCAAATTAGAAGATTCAGTCCGGTCAGATAATTTCAGCGTCTTGCAGTTTAGCACAATTCACTAAAAAGATTAATACTTCCAGTTCCGTATACAGCGTCTTCCGTATACAGAGTCAATAGCTTGAAAAGTTGGAAAGAAAGTAAATTTATTCTGCTAGGCAAAAAATAAAATAAAATTGTCCATTTATCAGCATATCAAAATCTGGATTCATGTATATAAGATTCATAGCTGAAATTGCTCTAGTTTAACAGAGAATAATAAGAAGTGTCCTTGTATATATCAATCTGGATTCATGTATATATGATCTCGCGTGATAATTGATTTCTTGCTGTTAGTCCTCAATGTTGGATTTCACTAAGACAAATTGATCTTCATACACACCGTCAGATGGTATTGTTGATGCATATTTATTTGCTCAGCTCACAATTAAAAAGTTTTAGGTCTGAATGTATGACACATACATGGGCTTGCGCTAACTGAATCATATTTGTCACATATGACCTCTCCCAGGACAAGAAGCTGGATGAACAAGTCCTGCATCTGGAAGCAACTGTTGTGTGCCATCAAGATAGCAACGTTGATATAGTTCTTAATGGCAATCCTTGTTGAGTGATGATTAGCATAGTCCTTCAGACTTAGCATTGCCCGTCATGTACCAAAGCTGATGCAACTTTCGCTAGGAATTCTTGTTGATCCTGTCATGTTATTGATAACCTGATAGGAATGTCTTCTCGTGTTTTGCCTGGGAGTTCCAGTTTGACATGTACTCAAAAGATGTGGCGGGGATAGTCCAGTTTGACATGCAGTCAAGCCTTTGTGCTTAGAGTGGTCCATTTTAACATGTATACCCAATTTCTTGTGCCTGAGATGGTCCAGCTTAAACGTACTCACATATCAATGCCTGCGATGGTCCAGTTTTCTGTGTAGAGGCTGGCTTAATTTTGTTGTTTACTCAAATATCTTTGACATGCAATACTATGTGCAAAGGGAGGGATCAGGATTGAATGTTGTGAAGATATGCAATACTCCCTCCATTCCACAATGTAGTGCTCCCTCTATCTCCGTGCTTCAACTTTGACCGTAAATTTAACTATCAAGACCAATTGCGGCGGGGGCAAAAATTATATCAGTGAATTCGTATTCGAAAGAAGTTTTCAATTCTATAATTTTTTCTCCCGCCGCAGTTGGTATCGTTGGTTAAATTTATGGTCAAAATTGGACTTCGGGAAGCGCGGGCGCACTATATTTTGAAATGGAGGGAGTACTATTTACTAAGAACCAAACGTTTGGACATTAAAGGTGGAGGTGGT